ACCTACAGGACCTAGACCTATAAGCCCTAAACTCCTCGATTTTCTAAACTCTAAGTGTCTATACTGCCCCAATAAGAATAAATTGATAGTGCATTTAGGATAGTTTAATTTATCAAGTTGGTGCTGCAAAAGTACCACTCAAGAGGTGCTGACAAAGTACCACGTAAGTTAAGCTCGGCGCAAGATGCAGGATTGTAGTATAGGTATAGGTTAAACTAAACAAAGGGTGCTGCTCTAAACTAAGACTAAAGCTACTTAGCCTTTCTCGCGTAAGATCGCTTTGTTGAATAACTTAGGACTTAAGATAAACGGTGCTGCCTAAGTACCGCCCGGGTGCTGCAGAAGTACCCTAAAACTAAAGGTAAGCTTGCTCGTGTAGGATCCTTTTATGAATAATTATGACTCAGGATTTAGGACTTAGGATAAACGGTGCTGCCTAAGTACCGCTCGGGTGCTGCAAAAGTACCCTAAAACTAAAGGTAAGCTTGCTCGTGTAGGGTCCTTTTATGTATTATTAATTATGACTCAGGATTTAGGACTTAGGATAAACGGTGCTGCCTAAGTACCGCTCGGGTGCTGCAAAAGTACCCTAGAACTAAAGGTAAGCTTGCTCGTGTAGGGTCCTTTTATGTATAATTATGACTCAGGATTTAGGACTTAGGATAAACGGTGCTGCCTAAGTACCGCTCGGGTGCTGCAAAAGTACCCCTAAAACTAAAGCTAACCTTGCTCACGTAGGGTCCTTTTATGTATATATAATTATGACTTAGGATTTAGGATAAACGGTGCTGCCTAAGTACCGCTCGGGTGCTGCAGAAGTACCCTTGGTCTAGCTTAGTTATTCAAATCCTGAACCCTGGACCTTCATAACCCCTCAAAGCGCCCAAATCCGATGTATTCAAGATCACACTAAATTGGGTTTCACGTTTAGGGTTCTGAGGTGTTATGTACGCATAGGGTGCATGGTTTTTGTTCGGGTGGCCGGTGGTACTACGCAGGTGCTACAAGCTAAATCCGAAACCTGGAAGCCTGAAACCGTAACGCTTCAACCTCAAACCTCTGCAGCCGTAGCAAACGAAGATAAGTCAGGATACACGCTGGGACAATCCTGAGCCCGAAGCCCTACAACCACAACAAGAGACTCAAGAGAACTCAAACCGAGAGCCCTGAAACCCAAAACCGGCGAGGACGAGGGTCCTTCGCCACAATCATTGGACCGGATCGAGATGTCCAATGCTCAGAAGGGTCCAGCCTCAGGTTAAGGGTGTGGAGGTCTCAGGGGTGCTTCGGGTGTAGGGCTTCGCTCCTTCGGATTTTTGTGCTGTGGCAGACGCAACAGTAGGGTGAGACGAAGCACACATACTGAACAACCTTAATTGCTTGACCTACGGCTGCTGCTACTTACTTTCATATTGTCCAACAGTACGGAGTAGAGTTGGTAAACCACTTACTTCACCCATGGCGGCGTTGCCTACAGCTGCCTACCGGGCCCCCAGTCGATCGCAGGCTCTTCCAAGTCTAAAGACATGTAACAAACCATAAGTATCCCCACACAGCTTTTCGAAGTTGTTGGAAGAAAAGCCTGGCCGATTTTAAAAACTCCCTGCACCGCCGCCTCACTCTGTCACTTGACAGGGCTCGTCGGGCTCGGAATCTGGCCACGGTTTTTCATTGTAGCTCATACGGCGGAGCGAACTGGACTGATTCTCGATAAGTCCGGGACATCCGTCGGTGTCAGCGACGGCGATCTCATCGCCGCACGACGACGAGTGTCCTCCAAGTACCGCTTGATCCAGGAAATAATGGCTGAGTGGACTTAAACTTGACATGAAAGCCTTGATCTTGGCCCTCTTCATCGCTGGCGGCGGGTCCTAGCACAATGCCAACAGTTCACAAGGATTAACAGCTGGATTTTCATTTCAGGCCTGGCTGCTTCCGGCTCCCGAAGATCTCTTTCCAAGATCCTGCAGTTCTTGGCAAGCAGATTGGTTTTATCCGGTCATACCGAAATGAAACTCTGCTACCTCGCAGCCCGGCCTTTGTGCCCATCTTGGCCAGGGTCTGCAGGTTCACATCTTTTCTCATGGCCTTCAGAAACGGAAGACTAAGATTCATAATGTGAAATAAGAAAGGTGCCTCGTCAATCGCAGCACTATTCATGGGCTTTGTCTTGGCAGACTCCTTCGGGGATGCCTGCCAAGTCTTAGTTCAGTAGCTCAGCACCAAATCGGCTGCAATGGCGGCCTTGGCCGGCTGTCGAGGCTTCCTCGGAGCCTCCTTCTTCGGCTGCGCCTCCGCGACTTTCGGCACCTGTCATCGGGACACAATCTCTCGGTCTGTCGCCAGAGACAAACAGACAAGAGAGAACGAGGCCCAAGTTCAAAAAAAGATCGGCCTTCTTGAGTCCTTCGATGATCTGGTCCTTCTGCAAGATCTCCTCTCGCAGCGATGTCAGCTGCTTGTCCTTCTCCTGCACGGTACGATGATGGTCTCGACAGAGGCTGCTGTGCCGGGAGCTGGCAGCATCCTTCACTTCCTGCAGGACCATCTTCGTCTCCTCCGCGTGAGCGGTCTGCAGCTTTTCCAACCTTTGCTGCAGCTCCCCTCTGGCCTTTTCAGAGGACTCATAGTAGGCCTTCCACTGTCCAGCGTCCGGAAGGCTTGACAGCTTCGTCTGGTAGGCCTCCTGCCATTCTGCATTCCATTTCTTGAGGTCCGTCACCTGTCCACGCAGGCTCTCCGCCTCCTTTGTGGCCATCTGTACCTGGGCCCCCAGATCAGTACGCACGGCCTCCGTCTGCTCCTTCTGCGACTGCAGCTCAGCCTGCAGTGCATCCACTTGGCACTGCAATCTGGCCTCTGTCATCGCACTCTCGGCCAAGCGGTCCGACATGCGTTCAAAGCTACGACCTGTTTCTCTGAAGCGCTGAGAGGGTCTGCCAGGGCGGGCGCCACGTCCGCCAGGGCCCCTTGCTTTAGGAGGCTCCTCGCCCTCCTTCGGCGTCTTCATGTTGAGCTCATCCAAGAGGTGGCCGGCTGCAGTTCTTCCGGGGCGGCGGCCCCATTGATGGCATCTTCGGCGGTTCTGCCATTGATGGCATCTTCGGTGCTGCCACTGATGGCATCTTCGGACGGGGAGGCACCGTCTTTGGCATCATGGTTCCTGATTCCTACCTGGACCTAGTTATCTAGTCTGTTGCCGCTGCTATGCAATGCTGCCTGCTGCTGCTGCTGCCGCTGCTGCCGCTAGCAGGCTGAGCTATGTCAGTCTTGCCTGCAAAGCAAAGCTATTGTGTTGGTTTGCTCCCGAAGCCCTCTTAGGACCCTCATTGCATTGAACAGTGTCTTGGAGGTAAAAAATCGCGACGCAATCCACGTGCACACAACACGACGATCTCAAATTGCAAAGCCATGAGCAATCCTCAGCACTGTTCGCTCGCACTCTTGACGACTGATTCCCAGGCTTGGAACGTGGCAGCAGAGACGAGGTCCGAAGGACTCCAGCAAGCCTGGGCAATTTTCAATGGCATGAGGTTCAATTTAGGCTGACCACTTCTCGGAGGGGGTGGAGGGAGCTTCATGTCAAATCTAGTTTTATGGGGCCCTGCAAGAGTCTCCAGTCAAGGCAATTTGCAATTGCTTCTGCGGAGCTGCACGAGTCCCGCGTTTCATTTCAGGTGCTGCAGAAGCACCTTTACAGACAAGGACTGAATTGTAAGAGGGTTGCTTTTGGGGGCTTGCAGCGCTTGTTTTGTGGATCAGGGATCCAGATGATTGTTAACGTGCTTACGACCTGGAACATCAGGTTTGTCATGTTCCCCTGGCCTCTAAACCCCAAACACTTGAAATCGAAGCCCTGAGCGGTTGGGACTTCAGGAGAGCCCCACGAAATTCCAGAACAGTGCCGTCTTAAAGAACCTCTGATCGTACATGCAGCGTCGAAGCTAGCTGGGCCCAGGGCCCTGGGACCGCCTGCCAGCAGCGGCCTACACCTCGGTATTTCATGGTGACAGCAGTTTCGGGTTGTGGCTCACTTGACCAGGACAGAGGGTTAGTTAGTTTGCTTGCCTGAGTTAGATGGGTGCTACTCAGACTCAGTCAGCACAACCTCGTCTTAATGTGAGTGACCTTAGGATTGATGCTTTCCGGTGTTGGGGTTTAGGGTTTGGTCAGTGTTTCAGGATTCAGGATGTCAGTCTAAGGCCAGGTGCTGCGGAAGTACCTAAACTTAATTTCATTAGGTGCTGCAAAAGTACCTGAGCTGCGAAGTTTCGAAAGGTCCTTCTGGATTCGACTAAGACCCAAGAACGTTTTCTGAGAAATTCCTCATGAATGGCAACACCCAGTGTAGCAGCAACACCAAGCTCAAGCTAAAAAGCCAATGGAAATTTGAAGTCCTTCGACAGGTGCTTGTGCAGCACCTTTACCAGTGGTACTTCTGCAGAACCACTCGAGGCGGGAGATCGCCTTTGGTTTAGGGGTCTTTGGGGCTTGGGTCTAGGGTCGGGGGCTGTTTTGGGGGATCGCCTAATGGGCCTTTAGGCGACCCACCGTCACTGAGTCCACGCTTGTGACGCCCTGGCACATCGCCTTTTGTCCTTAGCCCTATTTTGCCTCAACAAAGTTGGCGCCCTATCCAAGTTCAAGTTGCAGGAACAGTGTTCAGATTCAGACTTCCTCATGCCATGGTCATTATTGTCAATTATTGTCCTTTCAGGGCCTGGGGATGATGTCAGATTTTGCTGATCTGCCGCGGCGGCTCGGCCCTGGCCAGGGGGGCAAGTTGAAAAATATGATGAACCACAGCAATAGAGACCCTGAAGCCCCAATCATGCCGGTTAGGCAGGTAGCAGAGCAAAGCTCAGCAGTTGCTGGCAAACTACGCGCCACGACAACTTGATCAAGAGAGACTATTACTCGTCAGGCAGCCGCCGTTATAACCAAGCATGAAAGACATGGGTAAACAATAGTCGTGAGCATCATCATTGCCTGAAGCCGCCATGAAATCTGCCGGTTGTATTGAGTACTGCAACGGCCACTGCGCCAATCCTACTAGATGCGGGGCATGCTACTTCCAGCGGAACAGGCAGCAGCTGCAAGATCGGTTTCCATGGATAACAGCTCATGCAGCTCCTTTTCGAGTTGGCTGTTCTGTGTGTCAGCAGCTGCCAGCTGGCAAGAAAAGCACAGTCCCAGATTCGTGGAGATTGGGTGAGATTTCCTCATATGATGCTTTGCAAATGCGCAAGCTGGAGAAGCATGAGAGCGGCAAGCTACACCAACGTGCGTTGGACAGTCATGCGGACGTCTCAGAAGTTCGCGCGCCTACCGTGCTGGACTTCACAAGGTTAGCGCAGCACATGCGGAAGCAATGCCTTGGCAAGGATGGACTTCCAGAAGTAGGTGGGCAAAAGAAGTGCAGGAAAATGGCTTTTTGCCTGGCGGAAGTCTTCCGCGAATCTAAGCGGGATGTTTGGCGGGCAAAGAACGGCCTGGACGGCCAACCCTTGCTTGTCAGCACCACTATCTTTCAAGATGCCCGCAAGGGAAGATTGGCTGTGCGGTTCACTGCAGCCAGCTCCGCGGGAAGCAAGATTAGTGGCCACATGGGGTCCGTGCGATTGTCCGACGGCTGCGATTCTGTTTCCCTGACAGAAGCAACAATGAAGATCATTCGCAACTTTTGTACTCCGTGCACAAACATCCCTCACCTGGAGTCGCTGCACGGCACTGCAAGTCCCATGGATCAGGGGCTCTTTGAAAAAGTGAAGGCTTCTATGGAAACCTTTGTTTCCGATTCCGCGAGCGATGAGCTGAGGGCTGGTTTCATGCTAGCTGAGCAGACCACTTCTGGGCTCATGGTGGAGACACTGCCTCAAATGAAAGTGGTGATGAGGGACCGCCCCCATGCCACACGGCGCAACCTAAGCAGGAACTGGAAAGCCGACGCGTTTCTCGATGAGGTGGCCAACGCATTCCTCTTCGCGGCGGATTCCCCTGTACGCATGATCCAGTACTCCCATATCTTCCGCGATTGGTTTTGTGAAAACATCCGGAGGCAAAACCCCAACTTGAGCTGTGTGCAAGTGAACGATCACATGAAGAATTTGAATTTCGTGGCACACAGGTTCGAATCCACGGCGCGCCGTTGACACGGGTGGTTTTGTTCTTTCCAGCCTTCCTGCAGACTGTGAGTAAGATTGCGCTGCAGCGCAAGGCAGAAGACGCAGGCAAGTCTGCAGCCAAGTTTTTGACGTGGCTTGACTATGAGCGGTGTGTTCAGGTGGCAATGCTGGGCGACTGTGCCATTGAGAACCTCGAGCTGACGAGGTTGGTAGACTTCGAGGGGTTCCCTGTCGAGGACTTTCCCGGTCAGCTGATTTCGTTTAGGGCGCGGATCAGGTCCTTATTCACTGGTGGTGCACCGGCCTGTTTGGACACCGGCTTGACCCGTCACATGCTCAAAATTCTGGGAAAGCGAACGATGGCCTTCAGTATTCCCTCTTCACGCGGCGGTGTGGATGCCGTGCAACTCATGCCCACGGATGATCACGCTGCAGCTTTGACAGTGGGGAAATGCCTCTCGCGAATGTCAGGCTGGGTAGCACTGACTGAGAGGACATTGGAGGCTGAATTCCCGCACTTTGAGACGCAGCAGTCCTTCAAGATTTTCAGCCTGTCCGACGCCACGGAACGACCCAATGGATCCCATTTCTGCCGCTCCAAAGATTTGTCTAGGCTTCTGAAGGCGTATCGTTTGCCAGAGCCTGATCTGCAATCAGATATCGCTGATCAAGCAAGCCGACTGTGGTACGTGGCCAGGCGCACCGCCACGGAAGAGAAACTGAACAGCGTAGACTGTTGGATCTCAGCCGTGAAGCAGGCCACCCGCACGAATACACCGCAGACCCGAAGCTCTGTCGCGGCTGTTCTACCCATCCTGGTGAGGTACTGGGCAGCGGGTGGCAGCACATCTGGCGTGGAGCAAGCTTTTAGCCGTTCCCAGCAATTGACTGACAACTTGATGATTGATGGGCACATCGATGACGTTCTTGAGGCATCCCTGGTTCCTTGAACTCATGATGGTTTCAGGGTTACTCCAAGTTTAAGAGGATGACAGTGAGGTTGAGGGTTGAGGTTATGTTGAAGCATAATCCATTTCAACGTTTTCAGACTAGCATGCCTTTCTCCTGGTTGTGGTCATTTGTTTCTCTGATGAGCAGGTAGGTCGCTGTACAACAGAATCTGAACCAAGCTAGTTTGGAAGCGGGACATGAGTGACATGAGCTACGTTCAGACATCCCTGCAGTCGCTGGGCATGAAATCATAAATGGAAATCGGAAGTCTTTCAAAGCTTAACTCCGCAGGTCATCGACATACCCCCAGCAGAGCTGCAGACAATTGCCCGGAAGGCGGCCGCTGTGTGGTTGCAGGTCTACGGCCCAACAAGGATCTCCGGGTCGGCGCATCGCGTGAGAAGGGTGGACAAAGGAATCCCGCGCAACGAGCCTGAAGGACGTGCCAAGCCTTCCATGGCTGGCTGGTTGCGTCACCGACATGAACAGGTTTCCTGTCGCTCAGCCGGAAGCGTCCCTGAGCCGGAGAGTCTTGTGGACATTCCTGCTGAAATCCGAACGCCTGGACATGATCGAGAAATTCAGCACTTGAAGGCTGCGGGCTTGATTCGGGATTCTCTGCGTGACTTTGATTCCCAACGGTATCAATAATATTGCCTGTCGATGTGATGTCAGTCAACTGTGACCTTAAGTTAAGCTATCAGAAAACACCCTTTCAGGCGAAGGGTGTCAAACGCATGGTGGAGGAAGTCCGCGCTGGTCGGGGCGCTGACTTGTTAGACTCCTTGGGCATGGACGACTTGCAGCTGGTGCTGGACGGATTGCAAAAGAAGGCGAAAACGGATTCAGACTACGTCAAGGACCGTGCAAGGAAGAATGCCCTGGCGGCTCCGCCGACTTTGCCAGACTTGGAAGCAGCCCCCGTGCACGTGTCGGAAGCCTTGCGAGATTCGGCAGACATCCAACGAGCTCTTCAGACGAAACATGCTGTTGTCGTGGCCCTGGAGGACGAAAGTGCACGAAAGCCTTTCCCACAGTTATGAAGATGATTGATTTCCCAGTGTATTCTAATTTCTGTTCTTTAAACCTATGAAAGGACGCGCGGTTCTTCATTGAGCAAGATGCTACCGTCAGCAACCGTTTGCTGCACTGGAACGTGGCATTGTGCGGAGGGTCCATTATCAGCAAGGCTTTCCTCACGACTGGACGAGGACAACTCATCACATTCCCTCTGTCCAAGTCCCAAGATGGTTGATATCTACGCAATTAAATAGTAGTAAATCATCCCAGACCCCAGACGTCGATTTGAAATTCAAGCCCGAGCTGACGGGTTGATTCACTAGGACCAATCCTGAGCTTCAAGAATGCCATCACATCTCAACGACTTATTTGGTTGACGGATGCCTTCGCTGCTGCCAACGCAAGGATCGCGCATACGATTGTAGTGAGGCCAGACTCTGACAGACTAATACAAAGTATATAATCAGTAGATGAGATTCTGGCGCATGTTGTAAATGCTGGTACTGAACTGGGCCGCCTAGAATCAATAAAGGTCGGGAGCGCCCGGCAGCAAATGGAAGCTCGCGCGAGATCAAGCCCATTTCTGCGCGCGCAGCGTCAAGGATATCCACAAGTGCATTCTTCTATGTGTCGATGCAGATAAGGGCCAAGAGGCCCGGGGGCAGCATTCGTTTTGCCGCGCTCGTCGTTTAAGTTTCGTGTGACACCTCTTTGACGCTGATGGGTTGTCGCAGGTCTGGAGCGGTGTTCGGCAGAAGTTCAATTGTGCAGAAGCTTTAGACTTCGTCCTGCACGTGGATCCGACGAGAACCTTGACAGGAGCATGTGACTGAAAGTGCCACAGAGGGGTTTCAACTTTTCAACTTGCTGACGTTGGCAGGACCCCCGATTCGTCCAGAGTAGTTCAGTTTTTAGTGTGTCCAACTTAAATCATTGAATCCGCGTCCTCGAAATTCTGCTTGAGGCGACTCTGGGGTTGTGCCCAACGTTCATGGAAGCCTGCTGCAGCAGCATGCCCTGCTTGTTCTT